GGTCCCGGGGCTGCGTCCCCTCCTCGCCCGTGTCCCCCCGCGTCCCGGATGGGAACCCACGGGCGGCCACGCTCCCGGGGCTCTCCCACGCACGGGTGGATGCGTCCTCCCTCCTCAGCGCTTGCTTATTTCTGATCTTGGATGTCATCAAGGGTGGAAAATGTGACAGGAAGGAAGGGAGGCTTTTTTTCCTCCTGCTAAATATGGACTGACATTAAAATCCAAATACTGTCGTGAAAGGAATCCCAGCCCCTCTTTGCTGGAGGAGGGAAAACCGATGTTTTCTGGCTTTTCGGCTGCGAGGTTCCAGCTAGGGAAGTTTCGCAAGGAGCGGTGGGGTCCTTGCCGAGAGCCTCAGGAATTTACTTTGCTTGTTCACAGGACGCTCTCCGCAGCGTATTACGCTAAAAAAAAATTAGTCATCCCTTCGCTGCCTGTCTATGGCCGGGGGGAGCTTGCTGCGAGCGTGCAGGGCGCTTTGGAGATATTTAGGGATTTTTTTTCTTCTCTTGTACAAAGACTTCTAGAAGTGAAAGGGGTGCAGGCAAATAAAGCTGCGGCCCCAGCAGGAGTTTTTCATCCTTCTTTATTTTAATTCCTGTTGCTGCAGCAGCCGATGGCAGGGAAGGAGGTGGACGGAGTGGCTGCGGCCGATGCAGGGAGCTGCCGGGTTTGCGAGGAGGATTTATCTCTCTCTCTGTCAAGAATCAGATGCAAACTCATGCCGTTATTCCCACGGTGAGGTTGGGAAACTAGCTCGATGTGGGGCTCTGGGACGAGGAACAGGACCCCACGGATGGTCACAGCGCTGCCAGCTCCCTTGGTGACTTTGGCTGGGGCCAAGGTGAAGAGCCTGGAGGTTTTGGGGTGGCTTTGCTGGGACCTGGGGGTGCTGCGGTGAGAGGGATTTCGTGTCTGTTCCAGGCAGAAAACAGGCACTGCCACGTTCCCCTTCCACGTGTTCCTCTCCTTCCCTGTTGGAGAGCTTTTTCGGGGGGTATCTGGGGGAAGTTCTAGGGCGTTTGCCCCATCTTTATAAAAACAGTTTGTTAAAGCAGTGGGGGGATACTGGGAGGTGCTGAAAATAGCTGTTTCCCGTTTCCAGGGGCATTGCTGTCCTGGCGTTGGTGCGGCTGTATTGTTTTCAAGCTAATAGGATACATGGCTCTGCTTTTCTGAAATGTCACTCTCCAATAACTGATGCTTTGTGCGGATCCGTGATATTGGTCCAAGTCCAACATCAACATCCTTGTGGAAGAGTAGTTTGAATTCCTTCTCTCCCCGTCTCCTCCCGCCGCCGACCTACATCTGTTCTCCTCCAGCCCTTGGTGTTTGCAGCAGGACGGCAGATCCCGATCCGTCGGGAAGGGCGCGGGTGGCGTGACCTCTGCCGTGCTCGGCCCGCGGGTCTGCCATAACCCTCCTGGGGGTCCTGAGTCTGCGTGGTGCCTCAACGCACCGGGGAGCATGGGGCGGGTTATTTCGGATAGAACAGAGCACCCGTGTCAGGAGTAGGACAGCAGATGCACAAGCTGCTGGCTGGCGCTTCATCCTTGGTGTTACACGGGCAAGGAGGTCAGCCCTCACGGCCGCTTTCTGGTCTCATTCACAAATCGCGTTTTCCTCTTGAAATAAAACAAATCCCCGGGCTTTCCTGTCGCGGTGGAAATGATTTGAATGTGACCAGGTCCGTAAGCATCTCTGAAGCCTGCGGACAGGAAGAAACACTAGAGCGAAGAGGTAGGAAATGTCCGCGTTTATAGC